AACCCGCCACCTTAGGTGTATGTGGCTGGCGCCTTAGCCGCTTGAGCCACAGGCGCCGAGCCAATGTCAGAGATGTTAAAAGTAACTGATTTTAAAGCAGTTGTGATAAAAATGTCTCAATAGGGAATAATAAACATGCTTAAAACAAACGAAAAATTAAAGTCTCAGTAACAAAACAAAAGATATAAAGAACCAAAGGGAAATTTTAGAACTAAAAAAATATGATAACTAAAATAAAAACCTTGGTTAGGACAACTGCAACAAAAAAACAGCCGGGCATTGTGATGCACGCCTGTAGTCCCAGCTACTTGGGAGACTGAGGCAAGAGGATCGCTTAAGCCCAAGTGTTAGAGGTTGCTGTGAGCTGTGATGCCACAGCACTCTACCAAGGGTGACAAAGTGAGGCTCTGTCTCAAATAAAAAAGGAATAAAACTATAAAATTTTTAGAAAAATAACAGAAAATCTTTGAGGTCTACAGCTAGGCAAAGAGCTCTTAAGCTTAACACCAAAAGATTAACCCATAAAAATAAATGATACTGTTTATAACACACTCAAGAGGAATCTGGGGTCAATGTGATAAGGGGCACACAACTTGTGGCCTCCCTATGAACAAAGTCCCTACATGTGAAGAAGAAAAAAAGTATAAAATGTATGTAAAAGTATAAAGTGTCTAGGTGATCACTGTATAATTCTTTCAGCAGTACTGTATGTTTGAAAAATTGCCTAATAAAATACTGAAAAATTCTTTTAAAAAACTGATAAACTGGACCTCATCCAAATTAAAAGCTTTATAAAAGCCAAATGAAGATGAGAAGACAAGCTACAGAATGGCAGAAATTAACTGAAAACCACACACCCAAAGTACTAGTATCTAGAATATAAATACAATTTTAAAAGTAAAAAAAGACAGCAAAAAAAGGGACAAACAATCCAATTAGAAAATGGGCAAGAATCATGAAAAGGATTTCACCAAAAAAGATAAAAGAATAGCAAATAAGTCTATGAAAATCCATTCGACATCATTACCACCAGGGAAATGAGTTAAAACCGCAATGGGACATTCCTACACTTTCCAGAAATGGCCAAAATAAAAAATAGTCAAAACACTAAATGCTCCCAAGGATACAGAGAAACTGGATCACACAAACATTGCTAGTGGAAACGTAAAATGGTACAACCACTGTGGAAAACACTCTGGCGGTTTTTTATTATTATTACTATTATTTTGAGACAGAGTCTTACTATGTCGCCCTTGGTAGAGTGCCGTTACATCACAGCTCACTGCAACCTCCAACTCTTTAGTGATTCCCTTGCCTCAGCCTCCCGAGTACCTGGGACTACAGGCGCCTACCACAATGCCCAGCTATTTCTTTGTTGCAGTTGTAACTGTTGTTTAGCAGGCTCTGGCCGTGCTTGAACCTATCATCTTCGGTGTATGTGGCTAGGCCTACTCACTGAGCTATGGGAGCAGCCCCACTCTGGCAATTTCTTAATCTTAAAACAATTTAAACACACAACTACCAAATATCCTGCTATTACATTCCTGGGTACTTACCACTAAGAAAAGAAAACTATGTTTACTCAAAAACCTGTGCACGGATGTTTAGAGCAGCTTTCTTCATAATAGGCAAAAACTAAAGACGATATGACCTTCAACAGGGGATCAAACAAACCGAGGAACAACCACACAGGGGATGACTAGTCAACAGTAAAAAGGAAGAAACTACCAGTATACACGATGGCCCGGACAGAACTCTGAAAAACTGGCCATGGGAACAAAGCCAATCCCAGGAGGTGGGTTACACACTGTGTGACCTCCATTTATATGACATTTCTAAAATGAAGACAGAACAGAAATGAAACAGATGAGGAGGCTGGTAGGAAAGGCAAGCAGGTTTGGCTGTGAGAGGGTGACATGGTGGGAGGAAGGGGACGGATGAGGGGTTACTGAGTGGGCACCACATGCATTATTCAGTTGACAGTTACTCTCCAAGCCCCAACTTCACCACTCTGTCATACATCCATGTCACAGAATTGCACACGGACCTCTTAAATTTATACATGTGAAAAATAAAATCTTTTTATTTTCTTATAAAGACAGAGTCTCACTTTATTGCCCTCAATAGAGTGCTGTGGCATCACACAGCTCACAGCAACCTCTAGCTCCTAGGCTTAGGCGATTCTCTTGCCTCAGCCTCGCAAGTTGCTGGGACTATAGGTGCCTGCCACAACACTGGCTATTTTTCTGTTGCTGTTGTCACTGTTGTTTTAGCTGGCCCAGGCCAGGTTGGAACCCATCAGCCTCAGTGTATGTGGCCAGCCCCCTACCCACCGAGCTATGGGCGCTGCCCAGAAATATTCTTTAACTTCACTGAGTCAGTGTCAACCCTCTAGTTGTGATATTGTACTACAGTTTTACAAGATGTTACCACTGGGGAACACTGGGAAAGGGCACACACATAAGACCACTCTGCATTATTTCCTATAACAGTCTGTGAATTTACAATTATCTATAAATGAAAGTTTAGGCTCGGCGCCTATAGCTCAACCAGCTAAGGCGCCAGCCACGTACACCTAAGGTGGCAGGTTCGAATCCCCAGCCCGGACCCGCCAAACAACAATGACGGCTGCAACCAAAAAATAGCCGG